AGACCGCGTGGAGGTGGTGTGTGGGGAGTCGCAGCGCCCCAGCAGCTCCTGCCTCGGGCTGCAGCCGCGGGATGGCCGGGAGGGCTGGGGCGGGCGAGACGGGCAAGGCCAGTGCACAAGGGCGAGGAGCAGGCACAGAAAGAGCAGCGCGCCTCGGGCTAGAGGGGAGGGGACAGAGATGCTGTGGACATCCCTGCCTCTGCTTAGAACCAGGGAAGTCCTCTGCTCTGCAAGACAGTCCTGCGAGCAAGTTGTGGTCCGTGCTGAGCCGCGTCTCCAGGTGCGGGGCTGAGTGGGAATAGTCACGAGTGCAGGTGAGGGCTCAGGCTCCCCACCACGGGGGCAAGGATCAAACAAGGTGTCCTGATCCCTGTGGTCCCAGGACCTGCGTAAAGCCCCGGAGCAGAATCTTCACAAGGAGTTGGCAGCGCTGGCGCTATGTGCAATCTCACCGGGGATAAACCTCCCTGCCCTCCCGCCCCCTTTTATTTTTTCCATTAAATGGAGACCAAACGTGGTTGCTCTGAATCTCCCTGTGCTCCAGAACCAGGTAGCTATGCCACAGGCACTGTCCCCGTGCTGGCCTTGTGGGTTTTCCATCCCGATGCTGAGCTGGGGAGCATCATCAGGGCTCGAGTGCCCGACCTCACCCCAGGCAGCTCACAGCCCAAGCAGAGGAATCGCCTCCGCCTTCAGCAGCGGCATTTTTCCCTCGGCACCGCTAGACTGAGCACAACGTGTGAAAATGCCTAGCTCTGCCGAGCAGCCAGGGATGTGCCCTGCTCTCATTGCGCCTTTGGCCTTTCAGATGCACCAGCTGCCTCTCAACACGGTGGAAGTGCTACTGGTGCCCCTCGAGCTACGCCTGCGTCTCCAACCACTCGCACTGCGAGGATGCGCTGCAGATGAGAGTAAGACCCCGCGCGCTGCTTTTCGGGGGCTCTTCCCACTTTGCTGTGCTCTTGCTGCTGGTGTTTTCCTTCTTTCCCTGGGGAGCAGGAGCAGACGGCCTTGGCCCTGCAGCTGTGCCTGCACGAGGGCTGGGTGACAGCTCAGGGATGGGGACGTCCGTGTCGCTGCCTTGCTTGTGGCCTTGGGCAGTCTGACGTCTGCAATACAATAGCACACACTGCGTCCCCAGAGCATGCCGATGACGGAGAGCTACAAGGGCCCCTCTGGGTGGTCCTCCCCATGTCCCACGGCTGCAGGGATCTCCAAAATGACGAATAGACCCAGGGGACAGAGATAGGGCCATCCCGCGCTGAGGTCCCTGGGCTGAGCATCGCTTTATCAAGCACATGCAGAGCTCGCAGCGGCTCACAGAGCGCCGTGTGCTGCATCTTGATGCCCTTCTTGCAGATGGAGCAGAGTCCCCTGGCTCTTTAATACGTCCCAGGTCTGGAGGGACGCCTTTACTCCTCCCCATCCTTGTGATGCCTAGATTTAAGTAATAAAATAAATGTAGCGATACTTTACAATTCGTTTAGCTTTCGCTAGGTTGTTGCAGTACGTTTGTAATTGGCTAGAGCAGCACTGGCAGCTCGGCTGCAGGAGAAAATCACCCTTCCAAATTACAGATCCTAATAACCCCCAGGCTCAGCACGTTCCTGCTTCTGAAATTTAAATTGAAGTTCATTTAAATAAAATTGGCTTTTCAGCAATCAATCTGCTGTAGATCCAAGCCAAGCGTTCGCTCTTGAAGTTGACTATTCCTGCGGCGCTGGTGCTCTGAACTTCACTGGGGCCTGCACGCGTGGCCCCAGTGCAGACCCTGGCTGCATCCCAGCACGTCCCCACGTCCTGCCTGCTCCGTCGGGACGCGTCGCGTGACCCGAGTGCTCTGTGTGGGGGGCAGGTCTGGACAACGCGCTCCAGCTTCCCGACACTGCCCGGCCATGGCCACCCAGTGCTCCGAGCCCTGGGACGCGCTTAGCTGCCTCCCTGCTCTGTGAGCTGTTTCTGAACGGGCTGTGCTTTGTAGGAATGTCCTCTAACTGTTTGCAATGAACGGCTTACTAGATCACCCTTCACTCTGGGAGTTGTTTAAGTTTCACAAAATATCTGGGTGTTTGTTTTGTTGTCTGCACGGGAGCCGAGCACTCAACAGCCTGGGCTGTCTGTTGTTGGCTGTGAAGGACGGTGACGCCGAAATGCTATAGATGGATAAATGGATGGTGCTCAAAACCGTCCATCAGGGAGTGCCGCATGTCCCCCTCTCGGGGCACTGTCCAAAGGGGACAGTGATGGCACTGTGGGCTGTTGCCACCAACCCTGTGTTTCCCAGTGTGACAGAGCTCCAGGGCAGAGCTTGTGCTTCAGGAGAGACACATGTCCACATGTCTGTGCTGTGGTGACAGCATGACCGAGGCACTTCACTGATCTCCTGCCCACCTCTGTGTGCCGCGAGTCCCAACACAACCGCTGCTCCGGGCTGCCTGCGGGACAAGGCACAGCTCGTGCTAGAAAGAAGCCAACACCTCAGCTTGGAGAAGAGACAGGTCTGCAGAGCAGAGGTTGATCTGCAAGTTGTCACCCTCAGGAGAGCAGCCGAGTGGCAGGGAATGGCAGCAGGAGCCACAGCAGACTGATCCTTAATCAATGTTTTTAGTCACTGCTGGTACACAGTGTGTTTCTCATTAGGTCTAAGGACAAAGCTTGCATGATATGAGGCTGTTTAAAAAGGGCTTACATTACTGGATTGACTTTGTACCGTGGTACAAAGAGCTTCTGGGCTGTGGGCAGGCAACTACTGACACCAGGAGGGCCCTTCTGTGTGAAGGGAGAGGGCTGCTGTCATGGCCGGGGTCTCCAGGAGCCTGGCATGGCACACGGAAGCATCACTAGGTCTTGCTATGTGCTGCTTCCATCTGCCCTTGCATGGTGTGAAAACCCAAGGGTGGAAGCTGGAGTTGCCCTTTGTGGCAGAGATAACTGCCCACTTTTCCCTGCTTTCCCTCTTTTCCTCCTCTGATCATCTCGCACTCTCCAGAGTGGTGATTGAGCTGGATGGCGCACCTGGCTCGGGCACGTTCCTGCCTTGTCTCCATGCGCCTTTTTACCATTTGCGGAACAGGGTGCTGTGTTGTCCTCTTCCCCAGGGCGAGCTTTATGTAAAGCAGCATTTTCAGGGTGCTTCTGAACACTGCTTTGCTGGGAAGCAGCATCACACCGGCTTCCTTGGGAGCACGTTAAACATTTGGACCCTTCTCCCTGACCCAGGCATGAGTGATCTAATCAGCTGGAAAGCTCTATTTCTAGCTGCAGATGAGCAGCAGGAGGAAGGACAGCGAGACGACGAGTTAATCAGTCCTCTAAAGTGTATTTATCTAGCGAGCTGCTGTGACATGCAAGGACACCCCAGGCCACAGGAGTGCCTGCATGCGTTTCCAGTCGTGCTCTGCTGGTTTTGTTTAACCCTTCTGGTTCTCCCAGAGGAGATGGGGCTGGAATCTCCCACCCTTGCTTTGCTTTGTTGTTTCACTTCCCTTATCATGTGCATCGCTCTGCTATTTAATCTCCTTGCTCAGGCAGCACCGACAGCGCTTGGTTACGATCAGTGTCCTGATAAGGAGTGAAGCGTATTTTCCACAGTCAAACAAGCACTGCCAGATATTTCCCTGGCCCCCGGCTGTGTTTTGGGGGAGGCACGTAGGAAGATGGTGCTCAGTGCGGGATGTGCCAGCCGCGCACGTCGGTGGCAGCCCAGACCTCCCGGGAGCGCGGAGGCATTGGCAGTCACACCAGGACAACCTTCAGCCCAAGCAAGAAGAAAGTCTTGCCTGCTGCCAATTGTTCTGCATAACAGGCCAAATATTTTGTTGCCGTTCACCCAGTGGCTCTGCTGTCAAAGGCATTAGTGTAGATGCACTCCGCGGCCACAGGGAATCAGGCTCCATTTTTGCTGGGGTTTTGCAAGGTAATTTACATCTTGCGAGTCAACAGGACGGACTTGTCATGCAGATGGATTCTGAGTCAGCTCCAGTAGCTGAGGCATCAATCTGAAGTGAGAACAAAAGTCGGGGGACAGATGACCTTTTAAAATCATTTTTCAGCTTCATTTAGGCCTCTGATTTCTGCTGCCCTGCAGCCGCAGTCCCCCCCGCAGCCCTGCAGACCGTTGTCCCTGTTCTCCGCACACAGGCGTGCGCACAACCGCGCGCTCCTCCGAGAGCAGCGTGCAGAGGGTGCACAGCGAGAACAACTCCTCTGCCGGGGCACGCTGCAATGCGACGCGCGCTGCGATGCGCTGCAATGCAATGTGCGCTGCGCGCTGCAGCGCAATGCGATGCACTGTGCTGTGATGTGGGAAGCACCGTCGCCTGCAGAAAGGGGGACACAGGGGCAGATTTGCCCTTGCACCAAGCAGCACCTCCTCTTACTGCTGCTTCAGCCCTTGTCTAGTGTTTCAGTGTGTGCTGAGCCGCGCGCAGGGGTCTGCTCCTCATTTGGCGTGCACTGATTCCAGGGGAGAAGAGTGAAAAGGCCAGGCCTGACAGTGCCATCATTCAGAGAGCCAAGACGCCTAGTCCCCAGGTGCGGGTGCCCTTTGGGGTGCTCATCCATCGCTCCTGTGCCCCAGCCCAGGTGCTGGGGAGCCCCGCTCCGCGATGGCTGTGGAGCCCCGTCCCGGCAGCCTGGCCGCCGTGTTGCGGGTATCCCGCAGCCAGCAGGGGCTGCGCCCCGTGAGCCAGTGCCCTTGGTCTGGGCGCGAGGCCGGCGCCTCGGCAGGAGGCTCGTGCTGGGCTGCTTCTCTGTGCATCATGGTGTGAAATATGTGTTATCGTTAGGCCCTGTGTTTCTGCATGGAGGAAGTTGAGTGTGCACCCTGCTAACCCCTCTTCCTTCTCTGGTTTTGCAAATAACAGGAGAAGATCGATTGCCCACGGATTGTGCCTACCTCCTTAGAGCCGGTGCCCACGGGAGCATCCCAGGACATCATAATTGCTCTGGCTAACGCCACCTTCTCCAAGGTAAAGGACCCCTGGAAGAGCAGAGCGGTGGCCGCGAGGCAGCCGGAGCTTGTGCAGGAGCTGAGCCGGGGCACAGCCAGCAGGCCAGGAAGCGGTTGGGGGGTTACAGACAAGTCCATTTCTGCCTCAGGAACGAGGGGACGGGTCTCATCCTGCTTTAGATGAGCAACTGAAATAACTGTATTAGCAAGAGCTACACCCCATGGCAAGTGTGCCTTTATGGCCAAGCCGAAGGGAAGCATTGTTGGTGCCCAGACATCCTTCGGAGAGCTCCTGCGCTCCAGGACAGGCCTTCTGCATCCCAGGAACAGGGAGGCTTATACACCTTGCGAAACAGCCACTAGAACCAAGTGCAGTTCCCATTTTACTTGTCTGCTCCCAGCTGCGGAGCGCGCAGGGCTATCGCCAGGGTCCTTGGTGGAGCTGCAGCGACCCGGCCTGTGTCCTCAGGGAGAGCAAGGGATGCTCTTAGAAATGATAGTGTGAACAAAGATGAGGGCCAGCCCTGCAGGCAGCGTCCCCTGCACTAGCTCAGCGGTGGCTTAGGGCACAGCAAGGACACGTGTTCTCATTTAACTTCTGCTGGCTGCTGCTGAGCTCTTTTTTTTTTTGTGGAAAAGCCCTTTCTGTGAAATTTTCTGGCATGTGAATTATCGTAGGACAAGCAGTGGGCGCGGACCTCAAATGCTGCCTCTGCGACGTGTTTCACACCAGGAGAAACCAGAGGAATTTAGTGCAGGAATCTGGGCACTGGGAAAATATTTGGCTAAGCTCTGGTGTTTGTAGGAAGCTGCCCTGTGTCATTTTGGGTCAAGTCCTCGCAGAGGTCTGGTGTGCAGTGCCCGGGGGCTGCCCGGAGCGGCAGAGCCGGGGTGCTGGTCACAGAGCCCGTGGTGCTGGGGGCAGGACGGGCTGCGGGACCGCGTCCCCGCGCGCGTCCGCGCGGCCCCCCAGCCTGCCCCGCCTGGGCCCGGTTCCTGCAGGCGCCCTGGCCTCCGTAAACAAGGATGTGCCCCGCCATAATCAGCAAAAAGGGTGAGAAATTGCTCTTCCTCTGTGGATGTTGGAGGTGCCTGAAGAGGAAGCGATGCCGCATGTAACCTGATAGGAAATGAAGTCAACAGGAAAGTGGCGGGGGCACCTCCATTCCCAGAGGGAGGCTTCAAGAATATCTTGCAATCCAACTTCCTCCTTCCCACCAGCTGCAAAACCCTCCTGGAGCCCTGGGGCCGGGTCCATCCATCCCCGCTGCCCGGGAGGCTCCGGGAGCGGCGCCCGGCACCGCCGCGAGCACCACGTGGGTCAGCGCTGCGCGGCCGCACGGCAGCGCCGGAGTTCGGAATGGAAGCTCTTGGGTGCAAATGATTCACAGCAAAAGACTCTGGTTTCTGTCTTAGCGCCACATGTGTGCTGTGAGTCAGCAACTCTGTGCCAGCAATGTGATGTTTTCCAAAACCTGCTTTTCCTTTTTCTTTTTCTTTATTTTTTTTATTTTCTTTTTGGTGAGATCTGTCAGGTCTTAAAGTTGGGTTAGAGCTCAGTAATGGCGAGGCAGCGAGCGGAGCCGCTTGGAGCGGGTTTTGCCCTGCAGGCCGGAGCAGGGCCGTGGGCAGGCCGGGTATCGCCCTGCGCTCGCGCGCTGTCCGTGCAGGAGCGCTGCTGGAGCGGAACCTTCCCGGCACGGCTGCAGCGTGCAGCAGAACGCGGTTAGTCTGGAAAGGATCCCCTTGACCATTTGCAGTGTTGGGTTCTGGTGTCATATTTATACTTGAGCCATCCTTCAGATATGCACAGGACAAACAAGCTGAGATGCAGAGCCAATTTTATCTATTGACTCATTGGGAAACTGCACTAAAAACGAGATGTCTGTACCCATCCCACCCTGTGCCTCGCCAGGAGACGGCTCTGGAGTGCCACTTGGGAGCGGAGCGGACGTTCGAGGCGCGCTGGGTGAACTCCTCGGCCGTCCAGTGCAGCCACGTGCTGGTGGTGAGTTGTGTTGGTGGCTTCAGCCCTGCTCTGCGGGGGTCTGTGGAAAGAGCTGCTTGTTTGGCTTTGTAAATGGAAACACTCCAATAAAACAAAGCAAAGAATTGTCACCTTATTTTCCTGGGAAAAAAAGCTCTTTTTTCCTGTCACTTTTTTTTCCTGGAAAAGATTTTGGTCTGTGGAAAAGCCCAGATGCTCACCAAGGAATGAAGTGTGGTTACTGCAGGACTAGTCACTCCTCTGAAATGCCAGCAAACGCCTGGGCTCTGCCGTAGGGAATATTTAAAGCAGCAGCTGGAGAGGAGGGTTGGAAGAGCTGGAGGTAGCAGGACTTCCCTATTGCATCGCCCAAGGAATTGCCTGGTGTGACTGAGCACTAAAACTTCACAGTCCAGGGTGTCAATTTATTTCTTTCATTCTCCTGCTAAAATCCGAGCATACTAGGGCTCTGTCCTCCTCCTTTTGCCGAGTGCCTGAGCGATTGAGGACAGGAGTCACTGTGTCCCTCCCTGCGCTGACGATGGGCGGGTGACTCGTGCGCCGCGCTGGCAGGACCGAGCCCGGCGGTGGGGAGCTGCTCTGGTGCACACCCAGCCCGGGCCTTCGTTAACTTCATCGTTTGTGTTTTGCTGCAGCTCCACACATCAGAGAAAAGCCAACTCTTCCCCATAAGCCTTCAGCTGAAGGATCAACCAGACAGATTTATTGACAGCCCAGAGACGATGACAGGTTTGAGCTGAAAACATTCTCATTCTGCTCTCACGTGGTCAGCTTCATGGGTGCCGGTGCCCGGCGAGGTTTGTTGCCTCGGGCTGGAGCACGGCACGGCCGCAGCGCGCACGGCTCTGCCCTTCCTTCAGGAACACGTGCACGGGCAGTTTGCACGGACGGATTTGCACGGGTGGATTTGCATGGGCAGATTTGCACGGGTGGATGCACGGACTGGTCGGTTTACATGGGCAGACACGCGGATGGGTGGACTTGCACGGGCAGACGTGCACGCGTGCGGAAGCGTGCTCAGGACCCGGCATCCCACACCGGGTCCTGTTGGGTTCAGCTCCCACGCCGAGCCCGCGCAGCGGCCGAGCGTCCTGACTCCCCGAGCGCCCCGTGCCAGCAGCGGCGCGGTGTCCCCAGGGTCAGCAGAGGAATTTTTCCCTACGCAGATAAGGAATAAGACAGCATGGGGGAAGGGCTCCATATGAGCATGGCCTCCAGGTTCAGCACTCAGTAGAAACTGGGGGTTTTTCTGCTCCTGTGCCAAGGAAGCAATAAACCCTGCAAACACCACTCGCCTGTCCTACTCCCTATCTCTGGGAAGAGCGCGTGGGTTCCTATAAAAGCCCCTGCTGCCTGGGCAGAGGGAGGGGCGAAGGAGAACGTGGGACAAGAGCCTCCAGGAGAAGGGGCTGGGGGAGGCCGAGCCCAGGCCGCAGCCGCGTGGGGCCCTGGTGGCATCGCGGCCACGGGCTCCTCGTGCCGCTGCGTGCGCCGCCGGCCGCTCTCCCTCCCGCTGGCGCTTCGGGAGAAGGTGCTGGTTTATACTGGATGCAAACAAGGAGCAGACTGTTCCAGTGAGCTGTTGTTGGGAGGAAAGCTGTAGTAGGTGGGGAGACATTAGTGCTATTGGCCACTGACCCAGGGTAAGAGGTTTCCCC